TTTTCACAAACTTGTTTTTATTTTAAATGTTTTTCAAACTCTGATTCATTTTGAAATGATTTTTTTTTTACATTTGGAAGACACATCTTTTTTCCATAGAGGAATTTAATTTCCAGTTTTATGATGAAACTGAAGGGGAAAAATTTACATACAGTTATTTATTTTACACCTACCTTTTCATAAACAGTTTCTGCTTTATGAACTGGGATAGACCTATATGTAATTTCACCACTAAGTATATTTTAAAAACAGCCAGATCTTAAATAATCACTATCTATGACATTAATACAGTTCTCCACAGACAGATTTTTAACCTGGGATCCCTTTGGGGGAGGGAGGTCTGTGGATAGAATTCATGTGATCTATGAAGTTGAATGGGGAAAATTTGTCTTTATTTTCATTAACCGTTGACTGAAGATGAACGTTTTCTTCGATAATGAATGCAGGCAACAAACCACAATACTATTCATGGTACCTTAGACTTTGCCACTAATAGAAATCACAGATAACCACGCTGCAGTTGCAGATATCTTGAAATATTTACACTTACTACTACTTCAAAATTATAGCCTTAATCAGATATGTTGTTAGATACTGTTGATTAACACAATTAAGGAAGCTCATACATTACTATGTATTTTAGTTTATGCATTTAAAACATTCTGAGAAGGGGTCTGTAGCACACAGAAAAGGTTAAGCTTAGTGGTTCTGTCTGCTTCTTTCCCAAATGCATCTTTACTGCCACCTGGTGGAAGCCTTTGCTCAGTACAAGTGAAAAGTATACTACGAAATAGTTTAATCAATGTCTTTTTTTAATCAAACAGACATACTATAGTAAGCATTGACAAATAGTTATTTTATGTAAGTCTGAATGTGTCTAATTTTCTTAACAATGTCAACCAATTGACTAAGTTTTCTAACACTTCTACTCACTACCTTAATTTATATTCTTGTCCAAAATATGGTCAAAGGGTCAGATCACCTAAATTTGAAAGGCTCCTTTGCCTTTAGAGCTACACCTCTCAAAATTTGTTGAAAGGCTTCAAATTTTTAGTTTATCCATAGCTTATGTCAGATATTATTAACTAGAGGAACGTGCATAGAGAATTCCCTGAGGAGCTTTTCCTACAATCCACCTGCTTGGAGGCCTCACCTCTGGAGATTCTGATTTATAATTCTTGTTAGAGTGAATTTTAGAAAAAAAAAAAAACTCAAGAAATTGTGATGTGGATCCCTCTGGTTTAGAACCATTCAACCTAGGTCATTTGATTTCTGCCTTTTTTTTTAAAGGGTCATCTCATGCTTTTCTGAGTAATTAAGGATTATATCTTTCCTCTTAGAAATTTCTTCATCCCTTTTGATCCAGGGCTCTCTGTCCTCCCAAAGAATTACCAATCATAAAAACTCTTCTTGAATCTCAATCCCCTAATCATTGTAATGATTTTCTTTGTACTTTATCATATTTAAATCTCTAATGAAAAACAATTTATGCTTAGCTTTTTTTTAGTAGACTTTAAAAAAAGCTGGTGTTATACAAACAGGAAAGGAATAAAGATATTTAAAGTTATAAAACAGCAATGAATTATTATCTCAAATAGCCATTAGGTGTTATCTGTTCACTGATAATTTAGTTCACGTCTTATCTCATTTATATTTTAAGCAAGTTAGGTACAAAAAAAATAGGACAGATCACTAATAAATTGCTGAGTGAAGTTACGAATGTTAGAGATTCTATTTTTGTTTCTTTTGTATAAAATTGGGATGATATTCAGTATTCAGCTTTTCAGTAACTGAAACACTAAAAGATATTAGTCATTGCAAAGTAGTTTCACATGCTGTTCTATTCTTTCCAATCTTTTTTCTCTCTGTACTTCAGTTTGGCTATTTTTTATTGTTCTGTATTTGAGTTCGTTATTTCTGTCCTCTTTTTATATATGATCTGCTATTAAACCCATCCAATGAGCTCATAATTTCATGTACTGTATTTTTCACATCTAGAATATCCACTTGATTTTTTAATAGATTTCAACTTTCTGTGAAATTCTCCATCTTTTTATCCATTTTGTTCATCACGTTTTCCATTTGACATATTAGTAATAGTTAAAGTGCTTTTCTGCTAACTTCAATATTTAGATCACCTGTGGGTCTGCTGTTATTTTTTTCTCTTTTGTTAGTCACATCTTCCTGCCTCTTTGCATGACTAGTATTTTATTTGTATGGTGGACACCGTGTAAAAAAGAACTGAAGAAGCTCCAGATGATATCATCGGCCAGAGGGGGGACCCTTTTCCTCTTTTAGGAAGGGTGAAGTACTTATCATCTCACTCCAATCAGGCACTGAGCTGAGCTGCAGTTATAGTAAGAGTCAGTCAACCTCTGGTTCCTCCCTCCTCCTCAGGTATGATACTCTCTAGCTTCTGATTGACAGCCTGAGTTTCTGTCTCCCTCACACTAAAAGACTGTAGGAAATTTGGTTTTGCCCTTCAGGGTTTTGAGTTTGACTATTTAGTGTTATGACTTATAAAATAATCTGGGAAATATCAAGAGGGGAAGATGAGTCATGTATATATGGCACACATCATCCCTCTAATACAGAAATCAGCAAACTTTGTTTGCACAGGGCCAAAGTAAACATTTTCAACTTTGTAAACCATAAGGTCTCCATCACAACCACTCAACTCTGCCATTTTAGGGTGAAAGCAGCCACAGACAAGACAATACACAATGAGTGTGGCTGTGTTCCAATAAGACTTTATTTATTTATGGACACTGGAATTTGAATTTCATACAATTTTAACTTGTCATGAAATATTTTTATTTTGATTTTTAAACTATTTTAATCACATAGGAACCATTTGTGAAATGTACAAAAATAGTCCGTGAGCCAGGGTCCATAGTTTGCCAACCTCTGAGAGGGACATTAATCTTGTGAGACTGTGAGAGATTTCATTCTGCTTTCATCAGATTTTGAATAGGTCCATGTCACCAAATTTCCGAATTTGTGATTCCCAAAATAAGTTATTGGCATAAATGTATATGGATGATAGAGAATAACCAAACTCATATTCAGAGCCATGATATATAGTTGGACAGTACACCCAATTTATTCTGTATGGTGAGAAGTGGTGGCCATGGCTAAGTTCCCTAGCTAAGTAATGTGCTCCCAAAGTGTGCTCAATGACAATAAATTTATCGGCAAAATGGCTAATTACTCTAGGCCAATGATAATGATATCTTCTAACACTTACTGAGAACTTAGTATGTGCTTGACATTGTACTTTTTGCTTTACATGCAATATCTCATTTAATCCTCACAACAAGCATGTCAGAAAAACACTATTATTGTCCTCCTTTTACAGATGAGGAGACCAAGGCTTGAGGTATTAGATAACTTGCCCCAGGCAATAAAACTAGTAAATGTTGGATTTAGGATTCAGATCCAGGTTCTATTCTAAAACCTGTACTCATAATCACTACTGTTTTCTGTGTCTTGGACCTTTGGGATTGCATATGAAATGTGGAAATAGTCTCAAGGGTCTCAAGTATAATCAAATCTGAATACTATACAAGGATGAATAGTACTGGGTATTTCTCTCTTCTACATGTCTCCTTAGAATGCTTTTCATATACCACATTACCCATGACAGGCAGGCAAAATGTTCCAGAATCCAGATATGTGAAGAAAAGACATTGGCTGGGGATGGTTTGGTCCCATTGTGAAGCTGCAACACCTCCACAAAGATCTCTGGAGTTGACAGGCATTTAGAGAAATGACCAGATATATTATATGCCTATGGGAATACGATCAACTGGGGATTACTCAGAGAGAGTCTAAAAACCGTATAACTTACCTTGATTAGAAAGGAGACGTGACAGGAAATAGTAAAACTCAAATCAGGTTTACTCAGTGACAGCTTTTATAAAGATTAAGTAAGAGAGGAGGAGGCTGAAATTAGAGACTAAACTCTGGCTTTAAATTAGATAATCTATACGCAATGGAAAGAGCTGGGACTTTGGTGTCAGTAATATCTAGACTATAAACACAACTCTATTCATAAACTATAATTTTGGGCAAGTTACTTAAGCTCCCTGAGTCTCAGTCTCTTTATCATAAAACAATTATAATTACATATATACCAGAGGTTTTTTTTTTTGCTTTTTGGGAGAGGATTGAATAACATAACATACTAACAGTTCTTTGCACCACAGTAGTTGCTCAGTAAAGGGGAGATATTTTCATTATTCCCTAATTCTCTACCTCTGAGTTGGTCCTATTTCCTTTGTAATAAGACAACTTAATGCATAGTACCATTTACTTGGTATAGATAAACAAACCTACATAAACCAGTGACTGGTGAGTTTATGTGAATACACTACTGAAATGGTACTAAACACTCTGTTACTTTCTTTTTGATCACAGTAAAACCATGGTAGTATTTGCCTAGGAAGTATAATTGTCACTATTTGGTCCCACAAAGTATTAATTGCCTGTATCTAATACTAGCAAAGATATTAATATTATATAACTTGTGTTATTTTTATTATTTGATGCTGAAAGTTCTTAGTATCTAAACTAAACTGATGGTAGAAGAGAGGATTGATAGGGGTAGATAGCACAAGAAATGGAAACCTGATATTTCTTCTATGTAGATGTGACTCGTCATAGCCTGTAAACTGGTAGAATCCAGAAAGACACATTTTCCTCCACCTGATTAAAAATCTCACATCTATAAATTGATTAAATGCTTCACTCACCCAACCAGCCAGTGCTATTATTCTCTACTCCCATATGCCAAGAACTATGTTATGAGCTATGTGGCAATTAGAAAAAGTTCCACGTATCTGAGTACCTCATAACCTAAAAAGATACACAGACTACATATATGAGAAAGACAAAACATTTATGAGGAAAACACATAAATAAGTTCAAACTACTAATTATAATACTATAAAATTATTTAAGAAAAGAATGAAAACAAAATTGAATTATTCCAAACAAACCTGAGGTGGATTCTGATTTGGTCTTTGTTTCAGAGCTGAGTTCTGTTGACAAAGGCACTGAATGTTTCAGGTTGTGAGTTGTTTTTGCAGGTATTTCTATTTCATCAGAGCTTCCTAGCTGTTTACCAAAAAGGATTTTTCTTTCATAAGTAAATCATTTTACTAAAAGAATAAAATATCTTAAAAAATTATAGCATGTGTCTTTATTCCTGTCTTACCCCTAGGTTCTTCATGACACTTTTTCCCTTAAATTCCATATATATGTGTTAGCATACGGTATTTGTCTTTCTCTTTCTGACTTACTTCACTCTGTATGACAGACTCTAGGTCTATCCACCTCACTACAAATAGCTCAAGACCTACTAGAGAATGGACTTGAGGATATGGGGAGGGGGAAGGGTAAGCTGTGACAAAGCGAGAGAGAGGCATGGACATATATACACTACCAAACGTAAGGCAGATAGCTAGTGGGAAGCAGCCGCATAGCACAGGGAGATCAGCTCAGTGCTTTGTGACCGCCTGGAGGGGTGGGATAGGGAGGGTGGGAGGGAGGGAGACGCAAGAGGGAAGAGATATGGGAACATAGGTATATGTATAACTGATTCACTTTGTTATAAAGCAGAAACTAACACACCATTGTAAAGCAATTATACTCCAATAAAGATGTAAAAAAAAAAGATTTTATAAAACCTTCCTCAAAATAGAAATAGCCATAAGGAAAGTTGTAGCATGCTAATGATACAGTACTGCAGATCAAAATGCAATTGGTAATAAGGCCATACATAACTTAGTTACAAACTGACTTTCTTTTGCTAATTGATTTTATGTCAATCTTGAGTTTAAATGCTATGTATCAGGGACTGAAAATTAATACGAATGCTATCTTTACAATGTATGTGCTATAAGAGTTCTTGCTGCCCTATTCCTAATACAAAGCATGAAATGTTCTCAAGTTTGAGAGTATTGGTGTCATAGGAAACATGATTAAAACTAATCAATAAGGAACTATGAAATAATCTTCTATATAAGTTCAAACAGTCTGTTTTTGGTTGATTGTTAAGAATATAATTCTGTCTTTAAGCAATAACATGTAATATGTGATTTCCACATTTTTATAAGAAAACAAACTCTTTGTTGCTTAACTCATCAAAATTCTAGTTGTGAAAATTGATTTAATGGCATAATTCCTAAATGAATTTATTTTTATAGATATCCAAAATTTCATCTTAAAATCAAACCAGAACACGAAAAATCTAGACCTCATTGCTTAGTCCATAATTAATATTAATATTGCTTCCAGTGAAATGGGCTTTATGTTATGTTGTTGACTAGAATGGAAGATGCTATGATTAAGGACTCTATTCATATATTGTTGCCAAGAATATCATACACACTTTACAAAGACCTAACAGCAACATATGTCTTAGGACTTAACTCTAGGAAAAACTGTTTCTCTTCTAAGCAGTCAGTTTTAGTTTTTTTCATATTACTATATACAAAATTAAGAAAATTATTATTTTTTTCATTTACTATGTATTAGGCACTATTCTTTGTACTAGGTATGTAATAAAACATTGAATTTTCACAGAAAAATAAAGAAAATTATAGCATGCAAAGGTAGTATATTCCTTCATCTCTTTTCAATCCATCCTTGACTTCTGTCTAGGAGTCTCATTACAAGCTAAAACCCACCCAAACAAAACTCAAAATCTACCTTTTTGGTCCATTTAAACTCTACCTTAGTTTTTTCTTTAGGTTCAGGAAGTGACTCTTTTTTGTTGTTTTTTGTCCACAATGATTTAACTGCTTCATAAATCTGCTGGCTTGTAGCATATGTCTTTTTCCCAATTACCTAATTAAAACAAAAAGTGAGTCAAATAATACACACTTTTAAAAGTTAAAATAACAAATACTAAAAAATTTACATCTGGTATTTTATAAAAACACCCAGGTCAGAATCAATAATAAAGATATAAATCTCTAGATCATGAGAACACAAAGCCTCATTTTCTGTATCTTATATGAAAAATTATTTGCCTCATGTAAAAGGCTAAAATATATATATTTAGTACAACACCAAGAGTGAATCCTAATGTAAACTGTGGACTTTGGGTGATAATGATGTGTCAGTGTAGGCTAATCAATTGTAAAATAATTAGGAGACTCATTAGCGCAGTAGGTAGTGCACAGCCTCATAATTGTAAAAAATGTATCCCTCTGGTGAAGATGTTGATAACGGAGGAGGCTACGCATGTGTGGGTGCAGGGGGTGTACCAGAAATCTCTGTACTTTCTCCTTAATTTTGTCGTGAATCTAAAAGTACTCTAAAAAATTAATAAAGTCTTAAAAATGTATAGTTTGCATTCACACTGTAACGTGAATTTAAAACTCTGTTTAACAGGAGTTTGGGAAAGACAGTTTGAGATAACAAACAGCTGACTGAGAAAAAGATTTTAAGATGCTAAAAAGTTAATGCTTTTGCTTAAATTTTTATGTTGCTTTCTCCAATCACAAAGAAAAACAATTAATGTATTTCTCTAGAGAATAATACTTTTTTGGTAGAAACGTGAAATAAACAATGAACTACAAACACACTAAAGCAGAGGCTAGGATGCTAACTGAATTCCTGAAGCTGCTATTATTTTCATTCATATCTCTTTTCCTTTGGAAAAAATCTCTTTCTGATTCCTCCTTTCTATTCTTTTCCCACCCTTTTTTTTCTTATCGTTAAAGTAATGTTAATAGCTATTGATTTCTCAAACTTTAAAGAGGTTTTGAGGCACTTTCTAGTTTTACACTTTCTATAAACATAAATTTTTAAAAACTATGTTTTTCTTCCTTAAATAGAAATATTTTTATTATTTTTGCTAAGTATATATCTATACTTAAGAAAAATCAGTCAATCCACTAGTAATGAAAGTCCTCTTCCTCCTCTCAGTGTAACCTTTGTTAACAACTGTACGGATATTCTTCTTGAATTTTTACTCTTTTATGTTCATTATATATGCACACACATAGCATTTTAAAACAAACAGAATGTTGATACTTATACATCTACCAAAGGGATGATGTAGATCTATATGCACTGACATGGATAGAAATCCATGATGAACCACTGAATTGCAAAAAAGAGAAGAATAGATTACCAACTACAATCTCAATTATGTTTTAAATTAACACTGAAAATAAACTGCCCACACATACACTTTTTTTCCTTTTTAAACACAAATGGAATCACGTGATACATATTGAGGTGTGATTTTTTAAAAGCTTAACAATATGTCACAGAGATGTTTCCATATCAGTTTATATGCCAGTAGATCTGCTTCTAACAGCCACACAGCTAGTATTCTATATGGATACATCACAATTCGTTTAACAAATCCCCTATTGATGGGCATATGGGCATTATGACTTGTTTAACAAATCCCTTGTTGATGGGCATACGGAATACTTCCCTTTTTATCCTGGCAATTATAAGCCTGCTGTAATTAGCACCCTTACACAAATAACTGGGACCATATACTGTTGTGGTATTTCCTTGGAAAAATTTCTAGATGGGAAATATCTGGATTAAAGATTATATACATTTTAATTTTTGATAATATTGCCACATTGCCTCTAGAAAGTCAGTGCTATACTGTAGCAATTTACACTCCCACCAAGAGTATATATGTTTTCCAACCCCATTTACCAGCAGAAGTGTTATGATTTTTTTAAATCTTTGTCAAATGGAAAGGCTAAAAAACAGTATCTAAATGATTATTTAAATTTTCATTTATTTGATTGCTGATGAAGTTAAGCATCTTTCATATATTAGGCCATTTATGTTTCTTATTTTGTGGAATGCTTGTTCATATACTTAATTTTCATAGAGGGCATTCATCCTTTTCCTATCGATTTATAGAAGTGTTTAATATATGGAAGGATATTATTTAATCCTTTGTTAATATGTTGCAAATAGGTCTTCCAGTTTTTCATTTATCCATTTACTTTGTATACAGTATACTGTAGTCAACAGAAATGTATCACTTTGATACACTTTGATACACTTTGATACACTTTGTAAAATATATTCATTTTTCTTCTTCGATGGCTTCTGGATTGTGTTTTGCTTAAGAAAGCCTTTCCTATCTTAAGATTACACAAAAATTCCTCTTTTCTCGTCTAACATTTTATAGCATTATATTTTATCATTAGATCTTTATTCCACCTTCAATTTATTTTTGCATGATATTTAGTAAAGGTCTAAGTATTTTTCCAAAAAACCAATTATTCCAACACATTTCTTGAAGAGTCCATCTTTTCTTTTTTTTTTTCTGATTCCCAGTTAAGTTTACTATCTTTTTTCTTTTTAATATCTTTATTGGAGTATAATTGCTTTACAATAGTGTGTTAGTTTCTGCTTTATAACAAAGTGAATCAGCTATACATACACATATGTTCCCATATCTCTTCCCTCTTGCGTCTCCCTCCCTCCCACCCTCCCTATCCCACCCCACTAGCTAAACCACCGAGCTGATCTACCGGTGCTATGCAGATGCTTCCCGCTAGCTATCTATTTTATGTTTCGTAGTGTATATATGTCCATGCCATTCTCACACTTTGTCACAGCTTACCCTTCACCCTCCCCATATCTTCAAGTCAATTCTCTAGTAACTCTGTGCCTTTATTCCCATCTTACCCCTAGGTACCTCATCACCTTTTTTTTTTTCCCTTAGATTCCATATATATGTGTTAGCATACGGTATTCGTTTTTCTCTTTCTGACTTACTTCACTCTGTATGACAGTCTCTAGGTCCATCCACGTAACTACAAATAACCCAGTTTCATTCCTTTTTATGGCTGAATAATATTCCACTGTAAACATGTGCCACACCTTCTTTATCCATTCATCTGTTGATGGACACTTAGGTTGCTTCCATGTCCTGGCTATTGTAAATAGAGCTGCAATGAACATTTTGGTACATGACTCTTTTTGAATTATGGTTTTCTCAGGGTATATGCCCAATAGTGGAATTGCTGGGTCGTATGGTAGTTCAATTTTTAGTTTTTTAAGGAACCTGCATACTGTTCTCCATAGTGCCTGTATCAATTTACACTCTCACCAACAGTGCAAGAGGGTTCCCTTTTCTCCACACCCTCTCCAGCATTTATTGTTTCTAGATTTTCTGATGATGGCCATTCTGACCGGTGTGAAAAAATATATCACTGTAGTTTTGATTTGCATTTCTCTAATGGTTAATGATGTTGAGCATTCTTTCATGTGCTTGTTGGCAATCTGTATATCTTCTTTGGAAAAATGTCTATTTAGGTCTTCTGCCCATTTCTGGACTGGGTTGCTTGCTTTTTTGTTATTGAGCTGCATGAGCTGCTTGTAAATTTTGGAGATTAATCCTTGGTCAGTTGCTTCATTTGCAAATATTTTCTCCCATTCTGAGTGTTGTCTTTTGGTCTTGTTTATGGTTTCCTTTGCTATGCAAAAGCTTTTAAGTTTCATTAGTTCACATTTGTTTATTTTTGTTTTTATTTCCATTTCTCTAGGAGGTGGGTCAAAAAGGATCTTTCTGTGATTTATGTCATAGAGTGTTCTGCATATGTTTTCCTATAAGAGTTTGATAGTGTCTGGCCTTATATTTAGGTCTTTAACCCATTTTGAGTTTATTTTTGTGTAAGGTGTTAGGGAATGTTCTAATTTCATTTTTTTTTTTTTTTTTTGCGGTACTGGGGCTGCTCACTGTCGTGGCCTCTCCCGCTGTAGAGCACAGGCTCCGGACGTGCAGGCTCAGCAGCCATGACTCATGGACCCAGCGGCTCCGCGGCATGTGGGATCTTCCCGGACTCGGGCACAAATCCGTGTCCCCTGGATCAGCAGGCGGACGCTCAACCACTGTGCCACCAGGGAAGCCCTAATTTCATACTTTTACATGTACCTGTCCAGTTTTCCCAGCACCACTTATTAAAGAGGCTGTCCTTTCTCCACTATACATTCCTGCCTTCTTTATCAAAGATAAGATGACCATATGTGCGTGGGTTTATCTCTGGGCTTTCTATCCTGTTCCATTGATCTGTCTTTCTGTTTCTGTGCCAGTACCATACTGTCTTGATTACAGTAGCTTTGTAGTATAGTCTAAAGTCTGGTAGTCTGATTCTTCCAGCTCTGTTTTTTGTTCTCAACATTGTTTTGGCTATTCGGGGTCCTTTGTGTTTCCATACAAATTGTGAAATTTTTTGTTCTAGTTCTGTGAAAGATGCCAGTGGTAGTTTGATAGGGATTGCATTGAATCTGTAGATTGCTTTAGGTAGTAGAGTCATTTTTACAATGTTGATTCTTCCAATCCAAGAACATGGTATATCTCTCCATCTGTTTGTATCACCTTTAGTTTCTTTCATCAGTGTCTTATAATTTTCTGCATACAGCTCTTTCATCTCCGTAGGTAGGTTTATTCCTAGATATTTTACTCTTTTTTTTGCAGTGGTAAATAGGAGTGTTTTCTTAAATTCACTTTCATATTTTTCATCATTAGTATATAGGAATGCCAGAGATTTCTGTGCATTAATTTTGTATCCTGCTACTTTACCAAATTCATTAATTAGCTCTAGTAGCTTTCTGGTAGCACCTTTAGGATTCTCAATGTATAGTAACATGTCACCTGCAAACAGTGACAGCTTTACTTCTTTTGTTTTAGCTTTTTTTTTTAACACCTTTATTGGGGTATAATTGCTTTACAATGGTGTGTTAATTTCTGCTTTATAACAAAGTGAATCAGTTATACTTATACATATGCTCCCATATGTCTTCCCTCTTGCGTCTCCCTCCCTCCCACCCTCCCTATCCCACCCCTCCAGGCT